TTACATACATATGTGCACACTTGCACTTGCAAATAGGAATTTTTAACACAACTTATGCACATGCAGTTATTTAACTTTATTTTCAGTAGGGTTCTGTCACTTATTTATATTTTCACACTGATAGGGAAATACCACTATTCTGCCTTTGCAATGTTTCGCTTTTCTTTCTGCTGCTTGGCTTTGCTGATGAGAGAACACAGATTAGTTTTTAAATAACTGTAGGTCTTCAGATAGCATAGTAGCATACCATAGATCTGAATTTCAGGAGCCACTACAGTGCTGGGTGAAACATACTTATTAGTTATTAATAGTGAAACTAGAACAGGCATCAGAAGCTGCACAAGAAAACCTTAAGAAGTGTTTTCATGTTGGATTTCTAGACTAAACCCCTGACTGCAATATCAGCAAATTCTCTCTGTGTTAGTGGAAATTAGCTTAATAACATATTCCTTGTTTTCTTTGGACATCCTTTCTGAACTTTAAGTCATTCTTCTAACTCAAATATGTTTGTGTTTTGCTTGCTTTTTTCTTTCTGATATTTAGATTCCATCTTTCCATAGTGACCATCAGGGGCTTTTTTCCTTAGTACTGATTTAGACTAACAGCAAATGCTCATCCAAGGAACAAGGGGCCAAATGTGGCTAAAATGATATAAATAAATAGGCAGATGTTATTTTCCATCTGTGTCACTTTGTTGTCCACACAGTGATAATATTGTTGTCTCCACCTTTAAAAAAAACAAGGCAAATTAAAAGTAGTAGAAATATACAGTATAAACCCCAGGAAAATTAGAATGTGACAAATTGCAGCTTCACATTAAAAAGAATTAACTTCCAACCATTAAGTACAATGCAATACCTATTTATCAAGTTAAATTATTTTCCTGTTGTAAAAGAACAAATATAATTATAGAGGTCTTTTACATGTGGATGGCACTTGCTTAAGAACTATTTTTAACACTGTATGCATAAATCAAGTTTAATTTCAATTTTTTGTCTTTTTTTTTTTTCCCACACTTTCAGGAGATAGGCAAACAATGCTGGAAACAATCTCTTGGATGATCAAAATGCATTCTTTTGCTTACCAAGGGAACTATGCTTGTGGCATTTTCCATGAACTCAAGAATACTCACCATTAAGTAACTTGACCTGTTATTTGCTTGTCCCCACAACTTGTATTGAAAGACTACTCTAGAACCTCACCACTTTTATGGCCAGAATCTCTCTAACTTCCAGCTTAAATTTATTCATGGCCAAATTACACCCATTTGTTCTTGTGCCAGCATTGTCTGCTAGGGTAAATAGTTTTTTTCCTTGCCTACTGTTTACCACCCTATTGTGGTTTAAGAGAATAATTATTTCCTGTATCAGTTTTTGTTTCTACTAGACTAAACAAGTAAAAATTTTTGAGCCTTGTTCTGAAAAGGAATTCACTCTGGTAATCAATCCAGTTCTTCACCTGTTTCACCTTCCACAGATGCGATGAAAAAGATCGGTGTGAGATCTCTCAGGTGCTTTAAGCAATGGCATAGATTTTTAATTTTGTGTAATATTAAATAGTTTATCTGGTTCATGGCACTGGGTGGCATCTGCTTTTTCATGCTTCTATCCCACTGGAAACTTAGCAAGCCTGCAGTCAGCTAATATGCATATGTAGATCTATCTCCTGTGTTATTTACAACTGATATGCTCCTAGTTTACAGCATAGTTTTTAATTAATCCTTGACTGCATGTCTCCACTGTCAACACCGTGTGTTTCAAGAGTGAGTTTAGCAGTGTGTATTTTTAATGTGCTTTTTCCAAGGGTAACACATGTTTGGGATAAGCTGATGCCAAAGATAATAGAAAAATAAAAAGGAATAATGTTGTGAGACCAAAGAGAGGCACTCAGCACACTAACAGCACCATGCACAGCGTATTAAGGAATAAGGACTTTTCACAAATGCTTCAGTGTAATATGATAGAACATAAATGTTTGAGTGTGATATGCTGCATACAATACATTAGGACATTCTTTTTTGGCCTTGTATACTCACAGCTGCTTAAATGCCACATTTCAAAATAATTAGGATCATTATATCAATTACTTCCAGGGTAAAAAAAAGCTTTGATACTGCCTGGTTGTAAAGGCTCCATTTAAGGGCCACACATTCTGGAATGAAGACTATATAACTCCTAAGTTTTAATGGACAAGGACACTTTCACAAGCACATTGATGATTTTGGACTGCAAGTTCAAATAAGTAGGAATTTAGAAACTTTGAATCCTTAAGAAAATAATAGATATTTCCTCGTTTGGATGTAGAAGCCATCAATCTATAAAATACCTTTAGCTGTGCAATTACAGATAGCAGGAGGGTAGTAAATCCCAACACTTAGCAGCTTCGCTCTTCAATAGAAAGATAAACTAGATTCTTGAAGTATATTTTAGAGAGAGAAAGATTATTTTAAAGTCTTGTGATAGCTTTTTTTTTTTTTTTTAATTCTGCATAAGAGTGCTGGATGAGAAAATTTATTTAAAAGAGGCGTGCAGCCTGCTAGGGCGTGCAGCTTTAGAGAAATCTGGAAAAATCATTTTTGTCAGTTTTAAATTTGATGAGAAGGGAATCTGTATCTGCTCGGGATTATTTTATTAAGTTATTAAAAGGTAGTTTTACTTAGTGTGCCCTCCTTGACTCTTGCTACATAATACCTTCTTTGATGTTGAAGTGGGAAAGTGCACACATTAACTTTTTGATGCATTAGAAGTCATTTTATTTATTAAATAAATAAATTTATTAAATTTATTAAATAAATAAATGCAGGATAAATGAAATCATCTTCTGTGGAGCTGATAGTTGTGCAATAATCACTGCTGTACAAAGCAGGGGAATGCCTGGAGTGCACTGGGATGCAGCTCTGGGGTTTCCAGCACAGAAAGGACATCAGCCCATTGCAGTGAGTCCAGATGAGAGCCATCATGATGATCAGAGGGATGGAGCATTCCCAGTGAGGAATGGCTGAAAGAACTGGGATTGTTCAGCCTGGAGGAGAGAAGGCTTTGGGGTGACTTACTTGTGGCCTTCCAGTACCTGGAGGGAGCCTGCACAAAAGGTGGAGAGGAACATTTCACAAGAGCATGTAGTAAAAGGACAAGGGGAAATGGCTTCAAACTAAGAGTAGGTTTAGATTAGGTATTAGGAAAAACTTCTTGACTGTGAGGGTGGGGAGGCACTGGAACAGTTTGCCCAGAGAAGCTGTGGATGCCCCTCCCCTAAAAGTGTTCAAGTCTAGGCTGGAGGAGGCTTTGAACAAACTGGTCCAGCGAAAGGTGTCTCTGCACTTGGAAAAAGGTTTGAAGCTAGATGATCTTTAAGGTTTCTTCCAACCAAAACCATTCTAGGATTCTATGATATGCAAATAGTGGCTTCAAAAAGTAAATTAATTGATAGTTCTGTCATTAGAGTTTATTTTCTTTACCCGTAATTCACTGTATTTTTAGTAATATTTGAGCTATCAGAAACTTGCAGGCCTTCACTGCATCAGGGTGTGACCGAGTGATCATATTAACTTGACACGATTAATTTCAAAACTGTTCTTTCCCTTAATACACCCCTTTCTTTTTTTTTGCCAGTTATAATTAATAAAAGTATTTTTCAAACTGGGACAAAGGTTTGTTATGTCTTTCCTCTTTAGACAATGATACACTTTTTTGTGTTGATAAAGGAAAGGTATTTACAAAGTGCCTGACAAAGTGAAACATCACAGAAGGTAAAACATGTAGTAGTGGGTAACATTACCCTACTGATTTTAATCTCATAGAGGGTTTGAGCTAATTAAGAAAGAATAAAACTACACATGACACCTAACAGACACATTGCTTCATATACTGCTGGAGGATACACAGGACCATAGGGGTCATTGCAAGAACATACAAGAAAAATAAAACATAATTTCTGCATCCAAGTACAGCATGTTTTGCAGATAAACATGGCATACTTGTTTGACAAGATGTTCTTTTGCACAGCATAATTTTGTTATTAATACAGATTATACACAGAAAAATACTTGTTAAGTGATTTGAGATAGCTGGGGCAGGGGGCAGGCAAAGAAGAGCAGAGAATCACCCTTCAGCATTTATTTACATGTGAAACACTCACTTAATACAAAATAAGAGTTTCTCCTCTTGTGCAGTACCTTCTCGTGCTATTATGAAATGAAAATCAATAATAATTTCCCAAGATGAGAAAATTTATGCTTCTCTGAGAAGCTGGCCTCACCAGTAAGTTAAAACTGTTTGGCACCTATACAGAGAAGCATCCAAAAATATTTTCTGTGTAAAACAGAGATTGTTTTTTTCCTCTGTTGTTTTCTCTTTATTACTTGTGTTAGTTTCCTTGCCATTAGATTTCTTGGAGTTCTGATTCAGGGCAAAATAGATCTGTTGGTTCCTGAAAGAAGATTACTTAGTATGGAGATGGTAAGGTAACTTTGGTGAAATAAATCCATTTAAAGAGGGTTAAGGTGGATGTAAACCAGAAGGAAAAGTTTCAATTTCACATTGCAAGGAGTACCATGTTAATTCAAGACAAAAATTGGAACAAAAATCTGCTCTGGGAATTAGGAGCTGTGCATCAGCAGGGATGCTGCTGTGCCATGCAGGCTGATGGGAGAGCAGCACAGAGCCATGTGCCTTGCTCCAGCACTGACTCTGGCTTCCACTTCCTCATCCCTTGGGATGGCAGTGGCTTAAAATGATATAGTCTGCAATGATACAAGTCTACATAATATGAGGGCTTTGGCACCATGGTCCTGCTTTAGAGTAGTTTAATGCTGAGAGAAACTCTATAGATGATGAGGATTTTTCTGTCTTTCAAGTGACACCTTAAAATCAGGCATGTCAGGGCATATTTTGTGTATATGTCTGGAGTGTTGTATGCAAGTATTTGTTGACTTGTGCTTTCAGAGAAGGCAGTATGAGTATTGTGCACAGCCTGTGTGACTATTGAAATTATATACTTGAGTCACAAATGTGCTCCCAATCTCACTGCCCACACATTTCCTGCTTCTTTGCACACAGAACTGCAACAGGCGGGGCTGGTTTAGGAGGCTATTTGCTCTTAGTAGAGCATGTATTCCCCAGTGGAGGTGGAAAGTGAAAGAAACTGTACCAACTAGGAGCCAAATAGCAGACATGGTGAGATGCTGCAACTGATGAAGGTTTATAATACCAGGTTATTTCCAATTTCTTTAAATAAATTGATTATTTATTTCCAGTTTCTTTAATAATTACAAGGTTACTGTAATTATTAAAGAAACAGGAAATAAATAGTCAATTCCTCCCTTACAAGCATTTTATATATGAGATGTGCAAAATGGTTGAGTTGAAAGTGAGATAAGGCTGCTTAGGCTGCGCACCCGAGCTGGAAGTGGGTTACTCCCTTTCAGGTGTGTGGTCTAAGCTTCAGGTGATGGGAGTGGTTCCATGTTTTTTGAAGTTTTTCTTCTTTTTTCATTTTCCTCCTGGCATATCACAGGAGGATATGCCAGCAGCAAAAATCAAGCTGATGTCTCACGGGGCTGTTCCCATTTTGGTACTACAGTATTACATACACTGGGTCACCAAACTTTCTTTTTGCATGTTCCACTCTCTGTCTGAGCTTCAGCTAAACAGTTTGTTCATTTAAAAAACACTATTAACCCCCCAGAAACCACTAGAAATTACCCTCACAAAGCCCTTGAAAGTTCACTTCAAAATTTGAATCTGGTCTTCTTTTTTTCCAATCCTGAGACTTTATCCTTGACTTTGTTGAGTCTTTGCAAGCTTTGTGTCATTTGCAGAATCCTAGAAGGTGGATTACTGTAAAGTAAGAGCAGACTCTTAGAGGCTTCCAGTGTGACCATCCAGGTTGAAAGTCCTTTTAATAAACTTAATCAGGTAATGATAATAAAAAAAGAAATTTTCAAACCATTCTGGCTTTATTAGCAGAAAAAAACCCAATAAAACAGATACCCTGTCAAAATAAAAACAGCAGGTTCACTTATTACTAAAAAGTATAAAATGTTAACATAAAAGGTATTTTTAAAGTAACATTTATGAGTGTTATACACATGAACATTGAACATATATTCCCTTAAAAAATTCTAGTAAGGAAATAAAACATCCATTTGCATTTTACTTTTGTACATAGGTTTATAAAGATAATATATGTATCTTTTTGTATGCTGAGCCATTGCTTTGTCTCTGTCTCAGCCTGTCCAGGGTGTATGAATATTGACTAACATACACCTCACGATGTATTATTGCTTACTTGAAGCATAATACTGCATGACCTTGTTTTTTCTCTTAATTATATTTTTCCCTTGTAGGAAAGCAAGTTTACTCACTCTGAATCGTGCCAAACCGCATAATTTGGAAAAGAATATTGTGGCTCAACTTGGAAAGTACTAACTGGGCTCCAGCCATCACTGGGAAAGCTGTATAGTCTTTTATTATTTTAACTGGCCAAATGCCCTTTGTTACCACATTAACAGTCTCCCTGTGGTGTATGTAACTTTGATATTATTTCCACTTTTAAGCTAAATTTGACCAGATGAAAGACACAAACCCTCCAATTTTGAAATAAAAAATATAGCATGTTTTGTTAATCCTGTACTTCAGAAGGAAAGTCTGTGAAAACGATAACCTTTGTCTGCTGGCCAAAGTTTTTGTTCAGTAAACCCATCCTGCCAGCTGTTCTCATTGGCAAGAGGAAAGATAATATTTTGGTATCTTTAATATCTCCATTTTGAGCCGAAGTTCTGCTTGTGCCATCATTTAAATCATGCATGTTAACATCGGTCTGGCGAACAATGCTGCCCTTTATGAAAAGACCTCAGTTTGGATGGTATCACTGCAACGTTGCAATAAAGCTGCTTCAGACTGCCACATACAGCTTAAATCATCCACTGCCTATGGACTTTTGCAGGTGCTGTGGACTGTGCTGCTGGAGAATTGCTTTCAAAGGCCTAAAGAAGACACTGAAGGAGATCCAAAGGTGCATTGTAGTCCAATGACATCAGGAGCTAAAGGCACAAAACACCTCAAAAGTCTGGGCTCTCACTCACATGCCTTTGGTCCTCATCTCTTGAAGCAGACTAAACAAGGATCAACTTGGTGACTAAGATCCAGTCCCTAGCAAATGAGGAGAAACACTGGTATTTCTAAGAGACACAAAGTGGTCACCTAAAACTTTAGGCCTAGACAGATAAACTTCCCACACTGACAATATCTGAATCAACATGTGCATAGGGAATGCTCTCTGTCCAGATCCTTTTTTGACTGCAAGTTTTAATTTCTGTTGGAACATAAAGGGTGTTCTCATCATGTTTAAGAACATTTAAGAATGTCTTTCTCAGTTTACAGGTAACCTGAAGCCAGGGTGGTTACAGGCATATTGGATCCCACACCTTGGCAGAGGATTATTTCTGCATATGTTTCAGGACAGCTCAGCACTAAAGACTTATAAGGAGAGAAAAAAAATTATGATCCTGGAAAACTGATTGGATCCCTTGAAGGTTTCAAAGATGTCTTAAAGTCCTCAATGAGCACAACCAAAATGATTGGTATAAAAGTAGGTCTCAAGTCTTTGCCTGTCTAGACATAAAGCCTCTTTCACTAAAATGAAGCATGAGGGAAGACAAGATAGTCTCTTAAAACAAGAATTTAATTCATTTGTGCATTTATCTAATTATACGACTATCTTAAATACTCTCAGATTAATGGTGCCTGTGACAGTGCAACCTTGCACAATCTGAAACAGAACTGAATCTTACTGCCTCCTTTATAGTCTTCTACTTCTATTTGGAGGGCACATTCCAAAGGAAATTAGAATAGTTCCTGTGTCCTGGTAACTAGATTACTGCTTTTCTAACACCTTGATGTAAAAATTAATAGCAAAATAGATACTGCATTTTGTTAGCAGGGCCCAGCCCAATAACCACACTAATGATAGTGAAATTATACCTGGGATGCAAGTTTTCATTTAAGTACATTTCCTCTGCCATCTTCAGTACGTGATTTTGGGGGGGGGGGGGGGGGAGGAGGGGGGGAAGTATTTTTTTCAAGTTTTAATTTCCTCCAGAAGCATAAAATCATTCAATACTTTTTCCTCTCCTTCAGGTTAGCTTTCAACACTGCAGATACAGCTACAAGTACTTATTTGATGTTTTCTTGCTTGCTGAACTGCCAGAACCTTTCAGGGTACATGTCAGGTAAGGTAAAACCATCAATCAAATGCAAAAGCACCAGGGAAACATATTTTAAAATGACAAATACTTTTTGGTAGCAGTATCTAAGGTTACTTCCCCGAGTTTGGCTTTTTGCAGTTAGCATGCCTCATGCACCAGCCTGCCCGCTCCCCATATGTCTCTATGTTATTATTAATGTGTACTGCAGCTCCACAAAGGTGTTCTGGGTGGAACTTGGCCCAGAGACCTTGATCAGAGGGAAACTGTAAACCCTGGCCTCTCTGGAAGGGCAGTGTTCCTGCTCTCCTGCTCCAAACCCTGCCATGGGAGGCTGAGCACCCTGGGCAGCATCGTCCTGTGCAGTACAAAGCCAGGGCAGCCACCAGGACATGGCCAGGAAATGTGCCAGGCTCAGCCCCACAGGTTGAGTTACTGACACTCGCCAGCTGCTCCTTATGTGGAAGAACTTCAACACCTTCGTCTTGCATTACAAATACAGGTATTGTAAATAATACAGTTAAGGCAGTAAATAAAGGTAGTGTGCTGAGAGATAAAGCAACATCTTCCATTTTTAAACTTCGTCCACAACAACTTCGAAAAGGTAGATGGTCATATCATTTTAAATGAAAGGAAAAGCAATTGGGGAAAAAAGAATCCACAGACACAGTACATGAAGCAGACCATGAAAGCCATCTGACCTGTCATTTGAATCCTTCTGTATCAAAGAACCATGTTAACAATAACTGTAATGAAATTAGACTTACTATGCATGCATGAACAATAAAACACCCCCAAAATCTACTATGGTAGCACTTGAGGTTAAGAAAAAGAAAGTGAAAGCTTGTAAAAGATGTATCCAAAGCGACAAGCCCAAGAGGAAGACACCTCCCAACAGCTTGAGGTCTTAGAGTAAGCACAGAAAAAGCTGCTGTGGTGACAGAGGTAGTTTATTACCAAAGATTACATCCCTCACAAAGTTTAAGGTGAAAATGAGACATAAACCATAAAGTGACCATATGCCCAAAAAGACATTGACAGGCATCAAAACCTTTTAGTTAATACCTTTCTGTAGCAAGCAAGACACCTGCCAAAGAATGCTGCAGTAGATTGCTAAAACACAAAGGAGCAGAAAGAGAAGGTCCTGCCAGTGAGCTGCAGGAATTCTTTGCATTCCTGTTTGCTCTAAACTCAAGGAGTATTACCTTGTTGTAAGCCCTTTATACAGCCTACATTTGAGAGATCACTGAAAATTATATATCAGTTTGTTTCTAAGAAAGATAAAATAGAAGAAATAGAAAACTAAGTTGTAACAATTTCAAAGGATAACAAAAACTAGGGTTTGTGTGCATGGAAAAGAGAAGACAAAGAAGTGAAGTCTCTCAAATAATGAGTAACAAAGAAAGGTCTAATAGGAAATGGAAGTTTTTTGTGGCATGGAAGGCAGTGAACAAGGATGCATCAAATCATTATCTGTTTGAAAACAAAGGAAACCAAAAGTATTTCTTCATACAATGTGATGGCAACTTGGAGCCTCCTTGCCCAAAAGGCTGTGGTTTATAGAGCCTAACGTGAGTTAAACATCTCCTGGACAAACTCATCCATCAGTACTTGTTAAATATAAAGGTTCTACCTCTGACTTTGGAAGTCAGATTGCTGGAAGTTCAGAATATAAGGCAGGTGGCCATCACTACATGATTGTTGTTTCCTAATGATCTTTAGTAATCAACCTCTGTTTTTGATCACTTTTCATCACTTTTGGAGCCAGAAGTGATGGCTAGATGGATCTTTTCCAGCCTGAGCTAGAAAATGATTAAATATAAAAGGTTCTTTCATATTTGTTCTGTAAAAGAAATCCTCACATAGTATGAACTACTCAGTATTCACCCACTTCTGCATATCTGTAACAAGTCACAGAAGCTGAGAACCAGCTCAGAACACTCCATGTTGGCTGACACACCAAAGTTGGAAATCCAGCCTCACAAAGCAGTTTTCAGTGAGGTCATTGCACACAAGATAGTCAATTGACCATTTACTGAGCTTCCCCTGCACCGACTACTACCAAAAGGGAAAGAGAAAAGAGAAGCAATGGAACAGAGTCTGCAGTCCCCCTTTCCTGCAGCCCTTTGCTCACAGGGGGTTTTCTAGGATTTACATAATACAGTGAAGTGAGGCCAGGATGCTGTGGGACCTCCAGCTTTCATTTTCATGGATTGTTTTCATTAGAAGACTCGGCTGAAACATTCTGTTCCCTTTTCCCCATGAAAATATCCCTAATGGTACATGCTTCTCCTACTCTCCTACAATACTTCATATCTGAGACTTACATAGCTCACCCATAGTTGTCCCATCTAAAATTTCTTTCACTCCAATCTCTAGTCAAGTAACTGCATCAAGTAATTTAAAAAATACATAATTCATAGAAAACACTTTGCTTTGAACAAAAATGCAATAATTTTTTTTTTGCATGTTCAACCACTGAAGCAGGACTGCAGTCATTTAGTAAACATTATAACCTGAAGTTAACCAGTAATTTCTTTTCCAGGGCATACCCAGAGAGAGAATTTTTCTGCTGTAATGCAATTCCCTAATGATCCATAGTTAACATACTATTTTGTTTTCTATATAACCTTGAGAAAAATACAATAGGTATTTCATTATTGTATTAGATATGTAAGCATGCAAAAGTTTCCTGTTGCTTTAAGGAATGACTTCTGTAAGCAGTTATCTATAGTACATCTAAATTAAATAGCCACGTTAGAAGGAAGAGAAGCCATTTTGTATTCAGTCATTAAACAGAATCAGGAACAGTTGCTAAAATAATGTTCATTACAATTATGCTTCACTTGTAGGAAGAGATACCTGATAAGAATTGTACCAGAACTAAAGATGCTAATGAATGATTAAAGGCTAAGGAGCAGATGAGAAGGGGAAGTAGAACAAGAATACCTCATTCCTTTTCTTTCTGAGAGCACTTACGTGTTCTCCATTCTCCTCCACTAAGCTTTGCTTTCTGATCTCTACCATACAATGCTATGAATGGGCTGAACTAGGACTGGATTTAGACTCTTTCCAATCTTGTGGAAAGCTGTCTTTCTTAAATTGTGACAAAATAATCAAACACTTGACAAATTTTATTAACTGATAATAATAATAATGTTAAAAATGTCAATAGAAATATTTCATTTAGGTGATCTTTAAAGCATTTCAACTGCACTTACGTCTTATAACTAAAAGCCATTTTACAGAAAACCAAAATCTTTCATTTGATGTGTCAAAATCTTCTTTAATAAAAACTGGTTTTTCATGGCCTTGAAATCTGATTTGACCTATTTCTGACAAAGTTTTGTCTAAGACAAATAGAGGCCTTTTTGGATGAAACTCACTTTGTCAAAAAAGCTCCTAGCTAGCTCTGCTGTCCATGATAATCTGTACAAATATCACAGGAAACTTTGGGTATAAGCGAAGGCTTAATCAGCTGGAACTTGACTAACACGCAGACATGTATCTTACTGATCCCCAGCTGACTAGGAAATCTGTGTCCCATATGCTGTTTAAAAAGGAAGGTCGTAAAATTTAATTAGTCAGGAGAAAGAACTGGAGCTTGGTTTCCTGGGATGTTTACTTGTTTGTTTTTTGCATCTTTTTTTCTTTTCTTTTTTTTTTTTTTTTTTTTAATTTATATGCCCATTCAAACCCCATCTATTCACCTAATCCACAGATTGCTCTCCTGCTCACAAGGTTTGTACCTTGCACTACCTAAATTCACTGAGAATTTTATTTGCATCCCAAGAATTCAGGTCACAGAGAAACCACCTTGAGAACCCAGGAGATTAGTAAACCTATTATGGACACACGTTCTAGCCTGCCTGGGAAATTAGCATGCAGTCATTTATGCCACAAATAAATCACCAAATCTTTCAGTCATAGCTGTCAGCAGACTCCTCATTTGCTTTTTCTTCCTAGTGAAAGGGCACAGTTTTAGGCAGGAAATCAAAGCTCCTTGATTCTTCATAGGTAAATTTGCACAGATCTCTTGTTAAAAGGTCACAGACCTCTTGAATCCATGAACTACATGTGGAAAGCAGCACCAGCACTACAAACTTGTTTTCACATAGAAACTCCTCACAGTGCACAAAGACTGTGAAACACCTTTACACTGCTTTCAAAAAATCAGTTTATTTCAAGTTCAGCTACTTTCTGGCTACAAACACAGACGTGTGTTTCTAAGTGACTTGTGACTTGTGACAGTGGGAGATTTTGGATTATGATTAGAAAGCTGATTGATTACCTATTCCCATAGTCCTGTGTTTTCTGGTTCCAGTTCCGGGGATTTTGCCCAACCACTTTGAGAAAATTTTCCTCCTGCTCAATGAAGAATTGTGCTGGTGGTGCAAAATAGAAATGTTGCTACATTTCTTGGGCATAATGAAGTGCTCATGGCACCAGCAGAGATTTCGTCTTTACACTTAAGCCTTATTAAGGCTTGGTTACCTTTTAGAGTGGTAGGAAAGCAAGCAAAGAGCCTGATGTGCTCTGCCAGAGCTGCTTTATCAAGCCCTGCAGTGGCAGTCCAGGGGATTACCAGCTGCAGCTGCCTGCCCTCAGCAGGGCAGGATGCCAGCCCTCAGCTGCTCCCCTTGCTCTCCTGCCTGCAGAACGTGCACAAACACACTTGGGTCTCCTTATGACATCTGCACTTAAAAAGCAAGAGGAAAATGCAGGGCCTGGAAAAGACCATCTCCCTGATGGCAGGGCACAAACAGCTGTCCTCTAACCACAGTCATCCCTGCACTGAACCAGGATTGAGAGTCAGTTCAAGCTAAAAATAATCTGATCTTTTTTGGGAGTATGGCAGGGCAGGAGCCAGGTTCTTGGCTTCATAAACAATTTTACAAGAGCTAAAGGAGGGCATAGGCTGGGAATGAGCAGCTGGGGGCTGTTAAGATGTCATTGTCAGTGAATGGCACCACTTCCCTGAATTTTCACTATAACAGAGCTTGAGTGTTCAGATAATCAGCCACGACATCTGAGATATGGGAGCAGATGGGCCAATACCTGCTTAGAGTGCTCTAGTTTGAGTCACTGAAAAGGACATCTGCCTCTGCTCTCAGGCCGGGTGCCTCAGCAGCCCCACTGCAGCTGGGCAGCATCTTCTGTGTGTTTATGAGTGGGTATTTCTCAGAAGCCTGTACTGTTAGAGCTATTTTGAATGAATATTTACAAGGCAGCCAAGCCCCCTCCTGCTGTTAAAATGTACTGAATATTGAGCCCTTGCTGCTACACAGGAAGGTACCACAGCTCCCCAGAGAAACAACTGCAAGAATGTTTTTAAGATGCCAAACCCAGCAACCTTTTCCCTTAACCTTGTTGAACAAAATAATAGTATCTGAAACTTTTTACTCTGAGGAACACAAGTTTTCCAGACTTCAGCCTTCAGAATGAAAATTTAGCACAGTTAGCGGCATCTGAAATTTCTGAAGACAAATATTGGACACCTGTGGCTACTTTATCCTTAAATCTAAAAACTTGCCCTGTCTCTTTCCTTGTATCAAGTTCCAGGCCCACTGTATTTCTGTCAGTAACACTCAGGCCAGCAGGCAACACCAGAAGCATACAGAAATGACTAACATGAAAAGGAATAAAAGGCACCAAAAAACTAAACCAGAAATAAGTTATTGCTTAAGAATTAATATTTGCTTGTCAATAGACATCTGTTCATAGGCACTGCAAACTTTCCACTTGGTGCCTGGGCTTAATAGTGTCAACTTTGCAGGGATGTCTTCTTCAGCATTGTTTTCACTTGGTTTCTAGGGCAAACAAAATCTTTTTTTTTTTTTTTTTTTTTTTAATAAATTAAAGCTGCTACAGAGTTAGAAGTAAATAATTGCACAGTATGGTTCCTTAGAACATAACGAAGATCATATGTACCATATCAAACCCTTTCTTGCTCCCTTTGTGCCCTCCTTCCCCCCCACCCAGGTAATCCCCAGAACTCTGTGGTGACTGAGTAGAATTTGAGGTCAAGGTTTGTCCTGAAAAAAGTGGAGCTAGCTCTCCTCTTTCTCCCTGTCATCTGCTGACATTTCCAGATGACAGTGTACTGAATCTGAACTGTTTCTTTCGCTGGGAATGCCATCTGTGAGGTGGCAGCTGGGGTGGGAGGGAAGGCACATAGCAAATGAACAGTGATAAATATAGACAGTAGACTAAATTAGAGGAAGTTCCACTCCTTTCCAGTGTTACGGACCTTTGCACGCTTCCATTAAGTGGATTCTGCTTCTTTTTAACTGGTGTTTGAACAGCTGGATTGCTTAGCAAGAGAGCAAAGTCAGAACATTGAAACAAGCCAATGTTCTTCGTTTGTCAAACAAGCCAGTTCAGGCAAAATGCTAAGACTACTGAAATTTCCTAAGTCATTCATGGTTCCACTCCATTTCTATCATATTACACTATCCCAAAACTAGCAAGGGGGGAGAAAGGGGAGAAAAAGAAGATGAGCGTGTGTATTGTCAAAAGGCATATGTCATAAATCATCCAAAATGAAAAATCAGTGAAGATCTGACGGAATATTTCGTGTAGAGCAGAGATAAAACCAGACCACTGACAACTAAACATGAACTCTACAAAAAAAAAAAAAAAAAAAAAAAAAAAAAAAAAAAGCTGGCATAACATTTTAATGTCTCACTTTAATACTCAAAAGGACTACTTACATTTGAATTATCTTTTTCCCTGTATTACAGAAAGAATAGTTCAATAATTAAAACCTCATCTTAAGACACAGAATTCTGTAAATAAGATGATGTCAGAGGAAATTCTAGAGACTGAAATTTTGCTTATATTTCTTCACTAGAAGACTGCTAACAGCATCTTGTCTACACAGAAACACAGAAGGCCAAGGAGGGAAGGGACCTCTGGAGATCTTCAGGTCCAGCCACTCTCAAAGCAGGGTCCAAAAGGTATCAGGTTGCTCAGGGTCATATCCAGTTGCATTTTAAACTATCTCCAAAAACAGACTTCACTTCTCTCTGATTCAGTGTTTTGGTCACCCTCACAGGATAAAATTTTCTTCCTCTGTTTAATGGAATTCTCCTTGTTTCAATTTGTGCCCACTGCCTCCTACCCTTCCCTAGATACCAGTGAGAAGGGAATAGTTCTGTCTTCTTTGCATTATCCTGTATTTAATATATGGATAAGATCCTACCTAAGCCATCTCTTCTCAAGGATAACGTATTAATAAATATTAGTATAGCATTAATAAAATATGTAAACATATATGTTTACTTTGGAATCATTTCAGGAATATCTGCCCTAAATTATCCATGGTTTTCACACTGAATATAGCTTCCAATCTATCTTTTATGCAAGTGCCATTATTGTTAGGAGATGCATGAACTGGAGAAGGAGACTATTTAAGCAATGTTGTATTCTTTCAAACTATACCTAGGTAAGTAATTTGGTAAGACATTCTTCTCTTCCTTTCAGTGTTCAATTATAATCAACACACAAGTCAACTTTTTTTATCTCCCTTCTGGGGTTTTTCTAAAGTCCACTAATTTTAAGAGCAAACAATCACAAGAAGTGAGCTTGATCCTTGATCGACCCTACAGCTGCACTACACCTGAAGGAACTAAACCACACAGAAGTCTTTTAGTGCGTTTTAATTTATGAAAGTTGGATTCATATCCCAAATTCACTTGATTTACTTTAACTTTCTTGGCTGACTTTATTTAGCATTGCCTGGAAGTAAAGGTTCCATGTTCAGTGCTGCAGTTCTCCATACACAAGACTTGAAGAGAAGGAAAGTACATGTCATACCAGCAAACAAACTTGGCTGATGTTGGCTCACTTCAGCAAAATCTGTGTAATCCAAAGTGTAAAACTACATACACATGTCAGTTCTAATAAGCTTGTTACTCTATCTTCTCTTCAGATTTCCTAAAATGCAGTTCTCTGTGGCAGTACTATTTACCTGTTGTGCAAGATAAAACCTTTTCTGTTATGATAACACACAGACTCTTATATCTTCATTTAGGCATCAAATCTTTTAAAGCTGATACCCCATGCTGATAAAGGGGTTTCTCAACAGACAGCATGAAGTTCCTATCACCAGCAGTACATATCTCACCTGGGTGGGGAAAACCACACAACAGCTACCTGTACAGGTTGCAGTTCCATGCTTCCCCTTCAGGTGACACGCCAGATCCCTCCTCCTGCCGGTAGAGCTGAGCCCCTTTTATCCTTGCACCACTTTTAACATTCACCACTGAGAGACATTTCTGCATGCTTGCCCACCAAAAAAACCCATAAGGTGTCTCTCTCTGCTGGGCCAGATTCCTGGTGCCTTAGCACATTGAAACACTTCAGTGACCAGGGTCAGCGAGCACCCAGCCAAGCCACAGTGTCAAGAGCTGACTGTGTTTGCACTCTGAATGACACTCCTGGAACATTCCAAGGGTATTGGGAAAGTGAGCAGGAAGTGTCTTGGTTTAAAAATGGGTCCCCAATGCTCAGAGGGCCAGCTGAAACAAGGGGACAATGTGCTACCAAATTGCAAGCATCAGTCAATTTATAAACACTGGTAGAGTGTTAGAGCAAAGGATCTGTTTATTTAAAATACAGGCCACTGATAGACTTTTATGTAATTTTTGGAGGCTTATTTTTGAGGGCAAATCACGCTTCCAGAATATTCTAAACATACACTATTATGCATAATTGTCCTCTACAGTGTCCATGATGGATTGGTAAAAAAAGGTGAGCTAACATGCATCACATAAAAATGAAGAATAACCCACACCTCCAGTTTTCATGGGAGATATATTACAACCATTCAGATAATTCCTGTGGGCTCACTTTCTGGCCTTGGTGGAGCAGTTTTCTTTGTCCTTTGCAGTTTACCTTAAAAGCTTTCAATTTGATTAAGAACTTACAGTTTTTCTTGAGGAAGAGCCTAGAACAAAAGGCCATCTGAAATAAATTCAAAATTTCTAGTGAGTGGCTCACAGAACAGTAAATAAAGAACAAGCAGATTATTATGATATTTTAAGAATATTCAATCCCACTGTTTTGCATAAAATTCTACAGAAATTCTTAAGGTGTCAAGTAAGCTTCTGAATTCTATTTAAATAAAATTAACCTTACAAAACCCACAGTATCTATTAATTTTTCAGGTATTTGAGACTTAAGACCTCTCCCCACCAAAAAAAAAAATCAAATATACTCATAAAAATGAAACATTTATTGACCCATTTAAGTTTATGTGTGAAAATGGAGAAACTGCATGACTGCTGATGTGTAATTAAGAGACAATCATTTGAGTGACCTGGTTCTTATTCTTGAATGGTTCATGCAGTTCATATACTCCCAAAAACAGAAATGGAGTCAACATAATGCATGAGGATCAGATTTTGAACATCTAAGGCCATTTTTACCACATCAGAGACCTCCAGCACACACTTACACAAACTCCACAGTTTCTGCAAGAAAGCAGGAGTACTATCTGTATCGTAGTTTCTTTGAACTCTTTTTTGCTACAAAAGCTTTAGTGCTTAGAAAACACTTTCCTGTATTTGTGGATCTATTTATTTATTTTAAATGGCAGGTACTATACATCTGCTTTGTCCTTAAAGAAATATTTGCCAGTTCAGAAATGGAGTGATGATTGAGCTGGGTAACTAGTTTAATAATGAGTGGGTTTGGTAAGAAAGCAACTTACTGAAATGGCCACAAAGATTTTTATTGAGGTCCCAATAGACTTTGTGCCTCCTCTCCTGTAGGAACCTCATGTGGATGGTCCCATTTCCACCTAACCATCCAAACTTACTTCTAAGTAAAATGCTGTATGCGGTGGACAACTGGGATAATGACAATTTTAAAAAGCATTTTTAGTTGTGAAGAACAAGCCTACTTTTGAACATCTTACAGGAGCAGTATTCTAGTTCTTACACAGCATCTCTCTCCACCAGAATTTTCTGTGCTGGAAGAAA